ACCTAGAGGAGTCTAGAACGTTCTGCTTAGAAATACAGACAGAGGAGAGGAAGCATAAATACCTCTGGCTCTCCCCCCTCTGTTCGCTCTGTACCTAGCCTAGGAATCTCTACCTAGTATCTTATATAATAACTTGTCTATTATATTACATAACCCTACCTTACCTCTATTAGGCTATACGCTTCCTATTTAGACAAAGCTAGTCTAGATTTGTCTAGGTCCTTCTAGACTAGGAAGAAAGTAGTCTAGTCCTTCCCCTACTTTCTTTACATATCTAACAAGATACCTAATCTATGCTTTTAGACCTAAGCGTTAGAGGCGTGATTTTCTATAGTGTGTGTTATTAGATATTACAAAGGCTTTACACCTATATACCTTAAGATAACTAAGGTTTAGTTTATAGAGTAAGGTAATTCTACTATTACTAAAAGTAGTATGTGTAAAGAAGATCTTATAGGGTGTCTTCTAGTTGTTACTATAGTTTGGCATTCTGTTGTATAGGTATACTGCTGCTCTTATAACTTCTAGCTACAGTTCCTAGGAGAGGTTAGTATATAGCCTTATTGCTTGTGCTTTCTCCTTGTTCACACCCCCTAAGTGTTTAGCTCTACTATTCTAGGCTTGTGTGTCTAGTGCTAAAGGCTTAATAATAATTCCTTTAGTTGCAAGCTAGTTCTATACCTAAGGCTTTACTATTATAATCTTATTTTCTAATTTAATAACCTTTATAGTAATGTTAAAATAGTTCTTTAGAAAGAGGATAAACTTAGCTAGCTTTGTAATAATTAAAGCTACTATGCAATTATCTATAAAGTAGATATCCTACTAGAGGCCTAAGAATCTGTCTATAATAAGCATTTACAACTTCTCCTTAGTAATAGATTATACCTTATACAAGTAGAAGTTAATAGCTAGTCTCTCTCCTAGTCCTTTAGTGTTGTTGTTGCGTGGTGCACGTCAGATCTGCCACTTAGCCTTGGCCTTGCCGCATGCGTTGCACTCAGCTGTAGTGATGCCTTTGATGCGCACCCCCTCAGCCTGTTGTACGAGGTGTTCGATTGCTACAGGGCCTAGGTGGCCAAGCCTCTTGTGCCAGGTAACTGCACAGGCTCTCTGCGTCGCTCGTGCTGTCCTTAAGCTGGTGTGCGTGTAGAAGGTAGCGTGCGCAGGTAGATTGTATTCTAGGACCTATTGGCCATAGATTTTAGCAACCTTAGCAATGATTAATCTATCTAATTTCCTGAGGGTAGTAGGCTCTAGCTAGGTGTCCTACTAGATGCTAGACTGCCTAAGCAGGCAGAAGGAGACAAGGTTGCAGAGTAGATTAGGACAGATAGCTACGTCCTGCAGTGTTATCCTTGTTGTCTGTCCTTTACTGCTTAAGTGCAGGGTAATTAAGCTATATCCTGTTACCTACACCTTTATATTTCCTGCCTAGATAAAGTCTCCTTATATACATAGCCTAAAGTAGTGTATATATTGTAGTGTGTTAGTAATATAACAGGTTGTGCCTAAGTCTAAGATAAAGGAATGCCTTAGTAGATAGTTATGGCTAGAGCTAGCTTAGAAAGCTGCGTAGAGATTAGCGCTAATAGTGGCAACCTTCCTTCCCTTAAGTTATTGTTCTTCCTCTAGCTCTTAGATTATTAGAGTTAGTGTGTGTAACTTCTTGATGTGAAGTGATTAAGAGCGAGCTCAGCTCTGGCCTCTTAGTGCGCTAATTAAGGTGATGTTATGCTTCTTCTTGACCTCTACAAGAGCTTTAACATGCTTGTTTGCTTTCTACTAATCTAGTGCTTGTTTAGTGTTGATATACTAGCATTTATTGATGCTGTGGCGTTAATCACAAGCAGGGCACTTAGCTCCTCCTTAAGCAGGCCTATCTTCTTGTGCGCGCTTCCTAGGGTTCTTGCTAGGTTAATTGCGAGGTTTTCCTTGTCTAGATAGCGCGTTTTCTGCAATAGAAGCGTCCCTCTTATTGTAGTAGTCTGGCCAAAATATTGCCCTAGGTGGTTGCACCACTATTAGTAAGATATAAAGTATTATCTATTACAAAGGCAGCTTTATTTTGCTTTAGCCTAAGGGGATAACTTGTTATTATGTATTCTTAGAAATGTTTTATTATCTCCTTCCTTGTTATACTGGCTTTATAGCACATTGCTTGAAACAACGCTGACTATATAGGCGCTGCCTTCTGCACAGCTGATTAGAAGTCTTATGTGACAGCCATAATCTAAGTAACGTTAGCCACACAGTATGTCTCTGCTTCTGTGGCAGCTTGGTCATATTCTGCTAGCTATATATCCTATCCTAATAGTCTTATAAGAGGTTTAAGGGTAGTGTAGTATTATGCTTATACATGTTTACTCTCTAGGTTGTTGTTAACACCTGTAGTGTCCTTAAGGTTAGTAATCCCCTAGTAAATTAACAGACTAGGGAGGCAGCTAGTGTGTTATAGATGTAGTGCTACTATTAATTATATTAGCGCAGTTAAATGCTATATGCTCTTCTATTTAATCTTATATTTGTAATAGGTAAGCTTGTATCTCTTAGTAAGTGTCTTGTAATACTCCATGTCTTCTTTGTAAGCCTTCTGGCCCTGAGCTGATAGCTCTGAAGGACGAGATGCCTCCCGGACGCTGGCTGCTGCATGGTATCTAGATAGTTCTGGAGCTTCTAGGAGCGTTGGCTCTACTAGAAATAGTACTAGATGTTCTAGATTAAGGTTGTTCTAGATGTTGTAGACTGCTGCGCAGGCTTAGATCTAGTTAATCTAGGTTGTCTAGTTATACTAGTCGCGTAGCAGGATTGTTAAGTTGTGGTAAGGTAGTGTACTTATTATTGTCTAGTTAGTTTCTTATATTTGCCTAATAGAGGTAGTAAGACTCTTAATTATTAGATTTAAAGGGTTCTTGCTAATTATTATAATAAATTTATTAAACAATTGATCCTCTGGTCTAATCTATGAACAGGTGGCTTTTATCCCCCGCTCTTGTGCTACTAGCTGCGCGGTCCATTCCATGCAGTTCCATTCCAGCCGAGCCAGTGTTACGGCCAGCCTTGCTCATGTCTGACAATAAACCTAGACTTGTTAAAATTATAGGTGTCTTTATCTAGGATACTATACTTAGCATTAGTATTCTCTACTAGGCAGAACTAGCCCTAGATTACCTTAGGATCCTCGCAGAGGGCTCTCTTGTAGTTCTTCTTTTAATTAAACTTGACTGTAAGCTCTAGGCAATGCTTAACAAACGTGCTAGCCCAGGTCTTGCTAACAGGAGGCTGGTGGCGCTTAGTAAGTAGAGAGTTGGATATATCCTCTACATTAGTAAGCTGGGGTGGGTATCCTTACTTGTATAGCTTTAGAACATGCTGCACAATCACCTCCTCTTTAGTACTTGTTAGCTTTATTAAGTTAACCTTACAATTACGTCTTAAGAGCGTTCTAGCACGTTGTTGTCTTATTATTCTTTCTAACACCTTATAGATTATTGCAGCGCGTGGAATAGTAAGAGTCGCATCTTGTTTAAGAGCCTAAATAGCAAGCTGTATATCTAGTTCCTTTAAGACGCTTTAAGCCTTTTTGCGTTGAGACATTGCAGGTTGTATGAAGTTTGGTGTGGTCTTGGCAAAATCCAGTCACTCGTCCCGGCCGGCCACTCGCCCGTAAGGTACGTTAGAAAGTTTCTAGCAATTAGCGCGTACGTCTAGTTAAAACGTAATATTGCAAAGGTGATTAGGGACCTGCTGATAAGGTATGTTCAACGCTCTAGCAGCGCTGTGGATACTGCGAAATTAGCTAGTGCAGAAGGCCTAGATAGCAAGGATAACTCTACCTTCTCTAGTAGTATTCTAAAGTTATTGCGATTAACGTACCCCACGGGCGAGCTGATCAACGGGCGAGCTGATCACTTTTGCCAAGCCCCCACCAAACTCCCCCCCATTATGGCCCAAAACACCACAAATTAGCGCTGCATAAGGCAAAACAAGCTGTAATATTACTTAGATACCTCTTCTACCTCATTCTTGCACGTTCGCGCGTTATGTCCTGTCTAGTAGTTGCACCGTCCACAGCGTTGTTGAGATAGTTCACCCCCTTCAGCGCGCACCCGCTTCTTTAGCTTCTTCCCATCACTACGCGCCC